CACTTATTATTATTGGGTACTTCCCTGGGTCCTCTCCCTTGGTCCTGGAGGTCCTTTTGCTTTGCTGCCCATCACGCAAATGAACAACTTGACAATCGCGTGGACCAATCAAGTCGCAGGCGGAGCCACTTGACACAGTTCAAAAATGACATCCTGCGCAAAAAAAAATCGAATTGGTCCGATTAGACAATTATCAATAAAATTAAAATTAATTTCAATTATATTATTTAATTTTTAATTAAAATTAAAAATATATAAAAGTAAAAATAAACAGATGAATGAAAAAATAAATAATTTATATGAAAAATCGCAAAATTTAAAAGAATAAACTAAACTAGTTGGTATTGGTATTTTGTTTTGAGGCAAGTTACATGAACTTCCCGAAATGTATAAATAATTGATTTAATTAATAAAAAATAAATTAACTCATGAGTGATTAAAAGTATTCCGAGTGGATTTATTACACATAGCGAACATGTTAACTCGGAGTATTTTCTAAAAACAAATTTTCAAAAATCAACAATTTTTATAATTGAACCTGTTTCTGTAGGAATTTAATGATTTAGAGTGTTCATCGAGACCAAGTACTCTATCGTTACACCAAGTAAATTGACTAATTTTAATTTTAACAAACGTCAAACAACTACTCGTTTTCTCAAACTTTGATGAATTTTTAAAATTAAACTACTTATCGTAAGGCCGTAATATTTCAGTAAGTTCTATAAGGCCATGATATATATCATCAAAAAAAGTTCCATAAAAATCGGATTAAATTTTTTTTCAACAGTTAGTAAAAGGAAATGGTTCGGTAAACTAATCAGTGTCATTCCCAACTAATATCTTTCGAACAGTTTTTGATTTTTAACTTCCCGAATGTGTGTATGTATGTGTGTGTGTGTGTGTGTGTGTGTGTGTGTGTGTATGTGTGCGTATGTGTGTATGTGTGTATGTGTGTGTATGTGTGTATGTGTGTTTTTTTTGTATAGCGCCTTAGCGACCGGTTTTCTGTCTGGGTATGTCGGACTCTGTGTGTGTGTGTGTGCATGTGTGTGTGTATGTGTGTGAACAGATTTTTTGCCGTAAATCGACGTTTTCTCGAAAACAGATATGCAAAATAATCGTAGAGGAACTACAGAAAGTTTATAATTATTAAATGGGTAAGTAAAAAAATAAAAAATGCAAAAAATATCATTTGTAAGCATAAATAAATAAAGGATTAAAACTCGTGAATGAGTAAGTGAACAATAATAAAATTGAACTATTTGTAAGCGATATTTTAAGACACGTTACATGATCTTTGCGATATAGTATAAATAATTGACTTAATTAGACTTATGAGTGACTTATTAGTATTCCAAGTGGATTTATTACACATTATTGTAATAATGGAAAGTTAAATATATAAAAAAAATTTAAATAAAATGAAAAAAATATGAATAAATTCTTAATGACGATATCAAAATATTAAGATGAATAAATAAGCAAATGCTTAAATAAATTGCATACCTTGAAGTCTCTACATGTATTCAGTTTAATAAATTCAGTTTCCAGAAAAGTCTTTTGATCCCTCAGCAGATATCGTCTCTTATGGGTTGTCATCCTTAATTGTAGTTCATCAGCAACCTGTATCAAAAAAAAAGTATCAATACAGAGCCTATATAATAAATCTTGTACAAATATTTTGAATATTTAATTATTTTAAGATTTGATATGAGTTGATAATTTTGTGATTAGTTTTACATATTTTATTTGAACTGTAAGCATTAGCAGTTAACAGTTGAAGCTTGGAGTATGTTTCTGGAAAGACTATGTATTGAGCTTGTCCTTGTAGTATTTTATAAGTGTGTATTGAAATGCATAATTATACTCTAGGTTTCTCAAAACCTAAATAATTGGACTTGTATCTTACAAAATAAGAATTGCTTGTTTTGTTATCTTACCGATAGTTAATGAAGCAAAGAAGTCTACTGCAGCAAGCAAGCTAGTAAGATAATACAGGATTCTCATTCCAGAGTTGACTTATTTTTTATAATTCAATGACTAATTATTACAATAATTCTTGTCTTGAGAAATAAAATTATTTCAGTGTTCACATGACTTAGCCTCAATGCATTTTGCCTAGGAAACTTTAAATCGTAGCAGCCGTCAACAATAATATATACTATGTCTGAAGTAAAAAATCAGGATCAGCACAGAATTTTCTTGTCATCAAGGGTATTATATAAAAATTCAGAGGCTTTTATAATTGAAAGAGGAAACTGCTGTAGAAATGTTAAAATGTATGTATGATAATTATAATACATAAATATTTTTTAATATGTTGAATACATTTCATTGTGACCGTGACATTCAATTGTAAAAAGTACTTTGTTTTCAAAATCATTAAATTAAAATTAATGCATCAGCTTCATTTACTTACAAAATATTTTATATAAAAAGCATTGATTGTATTAGCATTACAGAATCTTTCTAAAGAATTTTTGAGAATAATTGAAATCCTTCAACAATTTTAAAATAGAATCACAATATTATGCTCGAATCTGATTTATCATAATTATTTTTGTTCATCACGAGCCAGGATAGTTAAAGCAAATAAATGTTGTATTCGCTATAGCGATTCAGATAAGATTTCCAATTGATGCGATATAGGCAAATATAGAAAAAAAATATACACCATTAAAGCAACTCACTAATGAAATTGAAAGACGACCATCTGCATGAAAGCAATATTAACGGTCCTTTTCTCAATAATTTCTCAAAATGCATGAAAACACTCGAAATTCATCTATGATCGTATAAGATTTGACGCGCCATTTTTCTTCTCAAATTGCTACTAACCTCAATCAAAATCTGTCATTATGTAGTGATGGGTATTTGTAGCACCCTTGAGAAGATCATGTAAACACCTGCATAAGCTTCGAATCCACAAATAATTCTCAAGTCCATTACATAAAATGACTAATGCAAAATACTAATATATACTTGGCCATACAACCTTTTACTTTGACAGGATACAATGGCAAAATAAAACGACTAACATGTGGCAAATGCACGTACGTACTACTTGATTGTCCTGGCTTCCTATAACTGGAGTGCCTACTGGCTTCCCAAGATCTTCTTCCCGCGATGGCTGAGATTAAAATGGATTGCGCAATGACGCTCTGCGGACAAAGAAACCTTGCGCTTGCTTGAAGTGTCATCCGGTCTCCTATACTACCAGTATTGCCAGGTCCACCATAGAAAAAAACAGTAGATAGGCCAGAAAAAAACAGCCTTATCATTAAATGATGGTAATATTTTATAGTTATAATAGAATATTTATAGCAACTAACAAAATATTACATTAGTGGTATTTTTGAAAAAAAAAGTTGAAAGCAATAATTCTCTTTAACGGTTTTGTTATATTCATGCATCCCAAACATCGTTACCTATCAAAAAGCGATATTTCTTGAATATAAGTTTTCCATCGTAGCTTACACAATATTGCACAAAATATTGTATACTTCATTAATTATGTATTATTTCATGTTATTATTAATAAAGGTAGATTTAAATCAAACCTAAACTAGTGGGATATTGAACGAAACAAAATGCTATGAATAATATTATTTAAAATGTTGATTATTTAGATTATGTATTACATTCATAAATGTTGAAAATATGACTATTTGATAACAATATGTTTTCAACGCATTAACAAAACCAGAAATCCAATAAAATGATTAAATTATCATACTATATTAGATTTTATGAAAATGATTTTCAATATTAAGAAAAATTGCAAAACAAAATATGAGCTTACCGTTTGTCTATATCATTTGTCATTCCTAATATTATTATTTTTTTTTTTTTGAGTATAATTTCATATTGAATATATATGATTACCATAAAAACAAATAATTTCTTATCACTCATTTATATATGCTGAATTAAATACAAATTTATATAAACACATATACTTTTACAACATTTAAATAACATCAATCAACATATAACACAATTTTCCAACAGATTAACTAACTTATTTCAACATAAGTTCTGATGACCAAATGAATAAATAGATAATTTGAAATTAATAAAGCATTTTATATGAATTAGTGTTACTTTATGCACTTTATGCAATTTAAAATATTGTGTAATAAATATTTATCATTAGTTTTTTTTTTATTTTCTTTTAAAATTTTTGTTTGTTTGTACTTTATAGCAGATAATCAACAATCAAGAAAAAAAATTACATATTTATTAAATTTGCAAATTAATGGCACATATCTATGTGATAAAATTATCAAATTTGTCATAGAACTGCACAATAAATAATATGTATAAACTTCTATCACACCGCTTAAAATATTATTAAATAACATTTACAATGTAAGATAAATTTGGTTACTTTTTCCTAAAATCTATTAGAGAACTAATAAAAATTTACAATATACATATTTAAAATCAATATACAAAATAACTTTATAATATTTCTTGGATTGCAATATATGTTGGAATCATAAAATGAAAACTCTTTATAATACACTTTAGGTAAGAATCACTTACTTTGAAATATGTCATTTCCACAATTTGATTTTCATGTTGTTGTACATGTATAAATATACATTTGAGCTGTCCATGCAAAATATTAACTTCTGGAAATACAATGAACATATTATTTCATAGCATGTGTCTTTGGCCTGTAGATTTAATTTTAATTATGCCTCAATACATATATATATATATATATATATATATATATATATATATATATATATATATATATATATATATATATATATATGATTTAGTAGTTAATTTTGATGTTGAAATATATGAGTGAGTTCTTGAGGGCGATACATCAAACAAAGAAATTTCTTTGTTTGATGTATCGCCCTCAAGAACTCACTCATATATATATATATATATATATATATATATATATATATAAAATGCTACAAAAATTTAACTTAAAGTACATCGCACTCACACTTATTAATTTATTTATATTTGTGGCAAAATTTAATATCACTATTTCATTACGGTCTACAAGCTTCTTAATGGGGTCATAAATTTGAAATGTTTTCAACAAGATGATATTGCTTCACAAAATAACAGCCTTAACTTTCCATAGATAGAGTTTGACTTTATCAACATTCTGAAGCTATAATATATGACTCCCAAAAAATGAATTTACTAGTAATCCATAAAACCTACTATAATAAAGTATAACAATAAATCAATCAGTGCACACATTCCACAAAATGTGTATCGAAATGATATTTTAGTGAGAGCAGACATTATCACAGCGTCTAGGTAAAGTTCCACTATTCGGAGCTGGCATATGTGCGACAGGTTCTGGACATCCATGCATGGAGAGCAAATCAACCAGAGCAGAAGTTGTCTCTATGCCAGTTATATTTTGAGAATTGGCAGCTGCGAGAGAAGCTGCTGCACGGGAATATAGTAAACAACTTCGACCATCGTGATCCAGAAGCTTTACATCTGCATTGTGCTGTAATAATAAAAATTATAAATTGCAAAAGTTGTATTGATCCTTATTATTTATGTTCATTATAAAGTATTAATTGTTAAATAAATTTGAATGATTGTCGTTGTTAAATATTGATGTATATTTGTTAGAAGAGCATTATTTAGAACATACTATATATTCAGTTTTCTAGACTAGACTATTAAGATTAAACTGTTTTGAATTATATAGGTAATATTTTTTATATTTTATTATTCAAATAAAGTATATTATTTTTTAAAATATTACTTTTAGATTATTAACTTCCCCTAGGGTAAGTTATAGTAATCGCAAAAAAAATCGAAAATGAAAATTTTTATATACCTTTAAGTTTCAAAGGTTTCTGAATATTTTGGCATACCTTAGAATAAATGAATGTATGTGTGTGTGTGTGCGGATACAAATTTTCGTCGACAATTTCGTGAACACCGATCAAGCGATTTGAACAATTCAAAAAACAATCGATTCGTATTGATAAGGAGATGTGCTGATTAGTTTCTGGCGAAGGCAAGTCTAGCCTTTCCAAAAATACCGGGCAAAAAGTGCCAAAAACGGTAATTCAGTTTTTAAGAGAACGGAGCGTCCGATTTTAATAATACAAAAATTATTTTACTTGTATTGACAAGATGAAGAACTGATTAAATTTTTGGGAAGGCAGGTCCAGTGGTTATGGACTCTCAATAAAAATAAGTTAAAAAAGTCATTTGGTGGCCAAAAATGTTTATTGGACATTTGTACATCAAATTATCATATATTTTATACAGATTTTATTAATGTGTAAATTTTTTTGGGATTTGGGTACCAAGATTTTTAATTACGGTACGGGATGTTCCAGCAATTTGCCTTAAGGCACGATGCCATGCACCCCACAAGTTTGAGTATAAAAATGAAACCGTTCAGTATTTGGGAATATATCTTTACAAATTCATTTATATTGCTTTAATGAAGTATTTCTGGCATTTTGATCACTCAACAAATTTTGAAAAAAATTGTCCCTCTAGCATTCAAAATATTTTCATGTTTGTAATCACATCATACATACATTTCGTTTATGTTTATTAAGCACAGATGTAGAAATACTTTCTAAAATATTAACTAGAAAGTTCTAAATTTTATTTTTTATTTTTATTTATTTATAGTTGAATAGTGCAAAAAGATAACTAAAGTTTTCTTACCCAGAGTAATAGTTGTGCAATAGCCAAGTTCCCTAAAGCACAAGCTAAATGTAATGGAGTTCTCAGGTCCCTAGTTCCCACCGTGGCATTAACTTGATCACTATTAGCATGAGCCAATAACAATGCAATAGCTTTCATATCCACTCGACAAACAGCATCAATTAATTGTTGACCTATTGATGCATTCTGATTGATTGGCGCTAAAAACTTCTTGTGTTCATATTTGTTACGAATCCATGATTCTTTTTCTTCTCTTGATGAAGTCGGTGAAGGCTTGTGATAGTAATTAGATTGAATATTGCTCTCCCATATTGAATTTGCTAGAGTATTTCCTAATGCTAACATCACACTTAGATGGCCAGGTCTGAAATATTAAATAAGAATGAATAAAAAAAATACATATTTAATATACAAGACATAAAAATAGCCCATTTCAAAATTGTAACAATGTAAAATTAGTAAATAATATGTGTAGAAAACTTTCTTAATATTATCAATAAAATAAAATATAAGATAAAAATAAACTTACGGCCATTCATCTAGATCCAATGATCGTATCCTTGAGATATGTGAACCTAAATTCCTATGAATTCCTGAACATTCTATACAAACAAGTACACCTAAATTTAAACTAGCCCAATCTGGATTTGGCGCATCACAATCTGCGCACACACTATTCCCTGGAACTCTTGATCTGATGGAGCAAATGGAAGAGATTTCATTAGGATTATTCAATCTCAACTTAGCTTTTGAAGTCTCATTTCCTTGAAGAGAGTTCAGGATTTGTTGTTCAATTGCTGAGACCCATTCATCTCTTTCTTCAGGATTAGCGGCTTCAAAATGCCATTGCTTGTTATCAAGAGACACAATATAAAATTCATAAGAGTCGCCATCTAGAAAAATATAGTTATGTTTATTATTAATTGTAATATTGCAGTTTTCACAGTTAAGTAAGATAATTTGAATACCAACCATCAAGTTCATTCTTGACACCACTACTTTTCATTCGTCTGTGCCTCTTCTTTACTTGTGGTGTTTCTAACCTATTATCACTACTGCCATTTTGTTGAGGAGGAGGCATCGAGCTATCATCATTATTAGGTGTGATACTTGTTCGAGGTACTTGAAGAGAAGTATCTCTTAAAGCTTCCATTGACGTCAACATAACCCTATCTGTGATTCTTTTATCTGAAATACCAATAACAGTAAAAATCAATAATTAATATATATATATATATATATCTATATATATATATATATATATATATATATATCATTTCTATACAATTATAACTACAGCAATTAATTTAATGCTCACTTGCTATTGATAGTCCTCCTATTCCTTCATTGATTGCACATTGACCATTGTTCATATGATGATTACCAATAGTTGTGATAATTGACTTAGAACCCCTTGGTTTTTGGCCAGGAACTTTAACTGTCACATACTGCAGAGATATTTCCTTACTATGAACATCATCCATGTAATCCTAAAATATCAAATTGTTTATAACAAATATTAAACATTGACAATAAAAACTATTAAATTTATTATTATTTGTCTGTTCCACTTAAATTTCTATAAAATATAATATAAAAACTACAACTTACATGTAGGCTGGGATGGTATGTTAATCTACCATCGTCACATAATGTAACATACTTCTTCTTCCAATCTTTATTAAGAGGTTTACTGCTCCTTTTATACAAATATCCCTGCTTCAATGGAATAGCTCTTCCACTACCTAATTCACTACCTTTCAATTTATCTTCACCTTTTTTTGAAGGTGTAAATAAATTACTTCTCCTTCGACTTTTTCTAGATGTCGTTGGTGTAGAACTCGGGGTTGTAAGATCTTTGGAATCTTTATGCGGAGGTTGTAAATTGTCAAGGTATTGAGGCGTGGCAAATTTTGCAATATTGTTGTTTTCAGTTGCTATACTCTGAAAAAATAAAGTGATAATAATTAGAATAATTTCATTTATAATTGCTTACATAAATATTGTAATAACAAAGATAAAATATTAATATAACTTACCATAAGGGTTTGTGATGATCCATGATTCAATGTATTAGACCATTTGCCACATTGTTCAGAAACAATCAAATCACAAGAAGATAGTTTATGATTATTTTCAGAATTCCGATGCAAATGATGTGTCGAAGCCGATAAAGTGTGATGCTGTCAAATTGAAAATTGATATTATTCAATTGTATTCAGTATATATTATTATATAATTACTATAAAAGATTAAGTAAACATCCAAACAGTCAAACTGCACTCTGACCATTTATTTTTAACATAATTCTAATTGTATAATTTTATAAATTTGATCATATATATCATATATATTACAATTTTTAATTATTGTGATTGAAGTATTCACTTTCATAATCTATTTACCTTATTTGATAAAATATGATTGTTATGACTTGGAGATGCACTGCTTAGTGTATTTGACGCAGGTGACCCAGTAGAAGAACTAAATCCATTCGTGGGAGAGGGTGCCACAGGATGACTTGCAAGACGACTTGATGATAAATGAAAATGATTGTTTGGTGTCTCAGGTCTAGAATTTGTTGGCGTTAAACAAGAACTTGAGGAAAGGCGTTGCTGTACAATTTTTTGGCAAGCTGCAAGAAAAAATAAACTTTGAAAAAGAAAATAACATTTGTTTAATAACATAGTTTTAATACATAAAAGCAGCAAAGTCTGAGAGCACAAAAAACCAAAATGTTATTTAACAGCTACTATATTAAATTAATAATAATATTTTGGGATTGAGTATAATACAATAATGACTTGTTTTGTATATAGTCAAACGATTTTATAGGTTATGTTATTCGAATAAAACAATTATATTAAATGGATTATTTTCTTCACATATGAAAATTAGAGTCAAATGATAATAAATTATTATACATTATTTCAATAAATACATACTGGGTATTTTATATTCATGTCGTTTTCCAAGAGATAATCGCTTTTTACATTTTTGAATTGATGGAAATCGAACAGAAGGCATATTAAATGTAATGAATTACAACGTAACATACATTGTATTACATTAAATAGAAATAAAGCAAACGAGTTGAACACAATGTTATTTGTAACGACAAATAAATCCAAAATCAATCAAACAATGTCAATGGTTGGATAAACACAGCACAAACAGTAACAGGTGTCAACCGTCAGTTGAAGTTAAAAGTCGCGCTCATAGATGGAGCGCGACTTTTATAAAGGCGCTTTAATTCAAAAGTATGTATATCATCATTAGGGATACATAATTTATTCTAGGTCTAGTATCACTTGTACCCCTAGAGATGATATTACCGTGATAGTTGATAAATTTAATAGCTTCAATAAGAAATTATAATTTACAGTTGAATTAGAGCCCATAAACTCGATAAGTTTCTTAGATATCAAACTAATATGTGCTTAAGAATTAGCGAGGAATCATTTTTTGCTATTTATAACGATGTAACAACAAATAGGCGCAATGAACTCAACATGCTGTGGGACACAAATCTCTTTTGCTTAGATAGTATTTTCAAATTTCTCACAAGACAATAAAAAATGTGTGCAAAGGATTCGCAATTAGTCCACACATGTGTAGAACCTTGGTAAAAATAAAAAAAAAACATTTATCCATTATGTCTTCAACCAGTTTACAGACAATACATATATTGCACACTATCTATTTAGGATTTTTTGTGTTAGTATTTTCTAAAACTGTTTAATTACAAGTTTAATGTTTATATTACGTAGTGCAGTACATTACCATATCCTGATATCATGGATTATTGAATTTTCTATATAATACTAAAATTAACAAACTGTAAAAACTTTGATTTTTGATGATGATTTTTTAAAAATTCAATTACTTTTAGTTTTAAAATTTTATTTTTAGTTTCCACTGAATGAAGGCTAGGATTATAACCGAAACGTATGGATGTAAAATAAATTCTTAAAAAAAATTTATGTTTTTTTATTGATGGTATGCCCGATTATAGGAAATTGTTAATATATGTGCTATTTTATATTCTTAGAAATTTAATCAAGTAAAGCTCCAAATTTCAACATAAATTTAATTTTTGTAAAACTCAATACAATAAATGAATTTTTCATAGTTTCAAATTATAGAAAAAAGATAATTGATATTTAAAAAATGATATTTTAAATTCCTACCGTCTTGGAAAACTCTCTCTACATTGAGCCCGTATGTTGCACAAGTTTCATAGTAAGAACATCTTTTTAAATCAGCTGCCAATTTTCGTGCTCTAGCATCGTCAATTACACGTGGATTATTTTCGCTTATAGCATCTACAAGTTAAATAAAAAAATGTATTAATTTCACATTCAATTAATATTTGTATTAATTTTATTTGATGTATGTATTATTACCTTGTGTTCCTACTAATATCAAAGGAATCTCCGAAGTATTTCGGTAATAGGCCATTTTTGTAAAATAATTGTATATCGCATTGAAACTGGCTTCGTTCTCTAAACTAAATACGAAGATTACAGCATCCACCCATGATGTAAACTGAAAGGAAAATTTTGATTAATTTGAGACAAAATTAAAATTTTCATTGGTTACATATCAAGATTAATTTTTAAAAATAGATGGCTATGATACAGAATTAAATTCAATAACTAAATAGATAATATTTAGGTAATCTCCATATCCATCAATATTACAAAAAATATTATTTAGTAACCACTAATCAAAAATCAGCGCAAATTTATCTGTATGACTTACAAAAAATGAAAGATCTGAGTAAATTAAAACATTTTTAATTTGTTTTTTCATTGAAGAATCATAAAGTAAAAAATCGTTATTTTATGATTAATTACCTGTACTTCGGGTGGTCCACCTTCGTCTCGAATAAGTAGCAGATGGCTTTGTCCATCGACTAAAATCTCTTTCTTAAATCTACCGCCTTCAGGAGATTCTTCCTGCATATAGCTACCGGTCAGATATCGGTGAACCAGCGCCGATTTACCAGAGCTCAGAGAACCCACGATGCCCAATCTCAAATCGGGCACAGCCCTTGAAAGGGTCCATTCTTGGCTATTCACGAAAGAATCTGAAAGTAAAAATTATAGATTAATAATAAAGGCAAAAATATGATTATTATTTTTAAAGTAGGAAATGCTATAGAGTGAACGGATGTCATCATAGATGAATGTTATGTGTATTCTTTTATGATAGTATTCCTATACAACTTGTATTAGGGTAATAATATAATAATGATAATTCATTTATGATATACTTTAGATCGTTAATTAAACTTAATTTTCAAAATAGAATGTCTGAACTTAAATCTGCAAGTTATCAAAAAAAAATAAGATTTCGAATATACCGGTAAAAGTAATACAACCATGATGTGAACTAAAAGGAAAATTTTGATTAATTTGGGACAAAATTAAAATTTCCATGGGTTACATATCAAGAATAATTTTTAAAAACAGCAGGCTATGATACAGACAATCTTTAGGTAATCTCCATATCCAATTAATATTTTACTTCAATAATTAATTATAAGACCTAATATAATCTATCAAATTCAATGACATAATTGATTCTTTATTATTGACCCTAACAACTGTTTTATCGTTTACTAAAATCATTTCTAACTCTAATAACTGGGATATATAGCAATCCAACGAGATTAGTAATTAGAAAGGTATCCTTTTGATTTTTCCAGCCATAGTATCAATGTATTTTTATAGCTAAAAAAAGCTTCTAAGGAAGTCAGAATCAGTCAAGAAATGATCACTTCATCAAAAAATAGACCGTAAAATACTTGCATAATACATTAAGCATCACCTGAATTAAACGCTAGCAGATTATATTATATGAAAAGCTATAACATCAATATATTAAAATTATAGCGCAAAGTTTAGGAGTGTAATACATACAACTGTAAAAAATAATATAAGGCTGTAAAATATTTTATATGGATAAAGTTACGGTGAATTTAGATATGATTCAACATAACGATGTTTAACATATCCGAGGTAATTATAAGTATTAGGAAGGAATAAATTTGTTAGGTAAATCGCTTTCTTAGTCGAGTTCTCTACATAGTTTTATTATACAACTTCCTTATGCAATTGTTAGTAACATAACACGTTATGTAATACTATTTATGTATAAATCAAATGGTAAATATTTTTTTAACAACAATCAGAACTTAGCGAGTCCTGTGAGCTGTTGCATTGATTTCTTAAACGATGTGGATTTTATATAGATGGCACTCCTAAACTGTTGCCCTGTCTCAGTGTGATCATTTTTATTATTTTATTATTACAATTTCTGTTATGGTGGTGAATTTTCATTAATGCAGCAATGCTGGTGAAGTGCTATTTTCACTTAGAAATTTATTGTTTTTTGTATTTTAAGTGAAAACCGATGCCACTACTGCTTGACATCAGGCTGTACGAGGCGGGTATCGAACCTGGAACTGGTAATTGAATAATAATGATTTTGATAAATCATTATATTTTGGTCTATCTCAAAAAAGTCCCTTATTTTAATATTAGTGCTGAGATTTCCTAATTTTATAAAAGTATTTTACAAAATAAATAAATGTATCCCAAATCATCGACTTCTCATATTTCAATATTTCAAGCTCTTGTCAAACAAGTAATATTTTTTTCATCTTTTTAAAAGCAAAGATATTTGCGTCGTCCGCGAATAGAATTAAGTCTAAATATAAAACATTATAAAATTAATTACTAATTACCTAATTCTTGTAATATTAAAAAACTTAAAATTACTGATATGAAGTTAAGGAAAAGCAGGTTCAAAAAATACCGCGGATTTCATTTGCGGCGATCTCAAGACGGAACCATGTGTTTGCGAACAATTTCCGGCTCGTCTGGTATGAGAGCGTTGTATGAATTTATAATTCATAAAGACCATTTCCGTAATAAAATGACGACATAAAAAAGCATAACTTTTTAAAAATGTAAATATATATAAATATTTTTATCATAAAAAATGTACTTCAAAATTGCTTTGTATCAGTTTTTATTTAAAGCTTACAAATAAGGTCGCTGGAAAAACTAAAATAAATAAATCAATGTATGTATATTTATTAGTAGGTAATCAGCACCCGATAAAAGCCGAAGGGTTCACGAAAGAGTGGATTTCAAAGATGTTTTCAACAGTGAGGACGACAATAGAGAAAATAAAATATCGAAAATATTAAAATATAAAATTAAAAGGCCTAAAATTGAGAAACAATGTCAAAGGTTTGAAGAATTATTTTAAAAAATGATAATATTATGATAAGAATCATGTACTAAAAGAGCAGAATTTCGTTTATTAACGCAAAGGGGTTTAAAAAGATAAAAACAGATTCAGCAAATTTTCTGAGCTCACCATTCTTTTCTTTATGAAAAATTATAGTATTTTTGATATTAAAAGTATGGTTTAAATGACATGTTCCGAAAACATAGTCTTATACTGATTTGGATTTTTAGAATTACAAATACGTTGTTTCATTTTCTTGTAAATATATATATATATATATATATATATATATATATATATATATATATTTATTGGTGCAGCAAAGCCGGGCAAGGGCTATTTTCACTTGGAATCTATATTTCCAAGTGAAAACGTTGTCGCTACTGCTTGTAAACAGGCAGCTTGAAGCGTGTCTCGAACCCGGTACCTCTGAATCAAGTCCCGTCGTTTTTAGCTTCAGAGTTACTAAATAATTGGATTTATTATTGACAACGTCTATGTATTCTAAAAAAAATCGCGTGCTTACATTTCGCCACCGGTTAAGCATAATGTTGAGAAAGTCACTTGTTATATTTCTGTTGTTTCTTATAGTAACTTGTTAAAATTGACCACAACCGCAATTCTGTTTTAAAAAAAAGCCTTACACGAGTTACAAGTGCACAAAAAGAAGTAATGCGGTTCAAACAACAATTAAATTTAATCTTTGCAAACTTTGTTGTTTGTGCACAAAATTAAAACTAGATGTAATCAAAGAATGGCATGGATCATCAAACACCAATAAAACTTGTTTATTTAACTTTCTATAAGCACTACAATACATCAATCATGAATTTATTATAGTGTTTTCAATTCAACAAAGCTTCCTTATCGTTTCCGTGTACGATAATATGAAATAAATACTGCAAATTGTATTGACCATAAATTTAATGTTCCATTATCAATGATTGATTGCCTTCTTTCTATCGATCCAATATACCAAGAAATTTTATAAAAACTAAAGATAAGAGCTTAAAATTGTGTAAAAAAATATATATAAAAATATTAAATTTTGTTTTTAAGTATAATTAATTCATTATCGATTTAGTCGTGAATAAACACTATTAAATGTGCTGATTGTCCAGTCCATATTATTAGATGCATTATTCAAGGAATAGGGTTTATATACGAATCGACTTCAGTCCAAATCCGCATGTCCATAAAATAGTTATTTAATATTGTCAATTTTCAAAAGCTCTAATGACCTTTGAAAAGCCCTTTGAAGGTACTAATTCAATGTCCGAGTTTGTTATTGGGAAGGTCAATCTAGTCCATTATTGTCCATTCGCCCAAAAATGACATTGACCGTTGGTACAATACAAATGAGTTACGGCATATTCTTGAAAGAAACATCACTCTTTTCATTCTGGCATTAACGCCCTTTGTAGAAGCATTGTTAACTCAGAAGCACCTTTAGGTATCCATAAGTCTATAAAGATGTAACCATTAAATTTACTGAAAAGTACTTATTGATGACTTCTAAGCGGTTGTGACAATTCAATTTATTTGGGATATAAAGACATACAAGAAAACAGTAATTTTGGGATAAATATAAGTTCTGAAAGGTCACCCAGTGGCCAGTAGTAAGCCTTTTCGATTTTGATAAATTAAATTAAATTTTACGAAGTCAAATAAATAGTAATGAAGGATTGTTGTCAGAGTTTTCATCGCGGAGTCGATTCTTTTGGGACGTTTTTTTTGCTTAGACCTTTCATTAATTTTCGGGCCATAGTACTGAGATGATTTTCTACTCTGTTCTTATAGGAATCTCGATTCTAATACATATTCTTTACATATTCATATGTATTTTTTAAGTTATTTGAAACAGAACTCACAATACAATGTGCGAAGGATTCTCTATCCTGTAAGTGATTGATAGTAGACTGTATAAATTATACTCTATTTAATTTTTTTATTGAATATAGTTTTCATTAACGCCTAAAAATTACATAGTGTGATAACGGTTTTTAAATTAATATCGATTGAAACTCAAAATACTGATTCGTATTATCTTATAATTGGAATAATAATAGATTTCACATCAATTATGACAGCCATGTAATCAATCATGTGAGACATTGACGTTGTGATTCGCTTTTAAATGCAATCATTACAGCTAATTAGCTTCTGCTTCAATAGCTTCAGAAGTTATTAAGATAACTTAATTGGCTTTTTATATTATAGAAAATCATAAAAGACGACATATTGATAAAAGTGATTGATATTTTATTGGTGATAAAATCAATTCAATAATATTTACAGCTGACTCAAGATTTTTAAAATTTCATTAACAGTTCGAATAATATTTAGAACTAAAAAAATGAAAAAAATACTACTATAAACACTAAATTGAACAAAAATATTTTCATATTATTTTTCTATTCAATTATTAAAAAATAATCTGAAAATGTATTAGAAAAAATATTAAATTTATTAGTTAATGATGCATAGTTTTGCAAACGCTACATATTTATATACAACAAAACCGAAATGAGATAGTGTTCAATATGCATTATTAAATCTTTGTCGCAAAACACACATTATAAGAAAAAAGCACACGCCCTCCCATCAGTGATCTATGGACATCTGCTCTTTGAAAGAATAAGGGTCTTAACCATCAAAGAAGATAGTCTGAACCTTTAATTTTGGGCATTGGAATCTTGAGCAAAAATTGCGTAATATTATAAGAAACTGAACCTACGATATAAACAAATTTGAAACAAATAAATTAGTATTCCACACATCGTTAGCCTTATATTGGCATCTGCATCATTAGATATAGATTATTAG